TAAAAAAAAAAAAAAAAAAAAAAAAAAAAAAAGAAAGGAAATCTAACGCAACCTTAGGACCCAATTTATTAACCTACGTCGCGACAACACAATAAAACAAGAGTAACAAGGAGCCCGTAGGGAATCTAACGCATTTGTTTAAAAAAAAAAAAAATTTAAATAAATAAATAAATAAATAAATAAAGAAAGGAATTCTAACGCAACCTTAGGACCCAATTTATTAACCTACATCGTGACAACACAATAAAACAAGGGTAACAAGGAGCCCATAGGGAATCTAAACGCATTTGTAAAAAAAAACAAAAATTAGGACTCAATTTATTAACCTACGTCGCGACAACACATAAAAATGCGCCCCAAAATATGGTACCTAAATTATTTCGTTGCATGACGACAACACAATGAATAAAGAAAAAAACAGGGAACCTTAAAATAATAAACACGGTCACGTGTGGTGAAAGGCGCACATCTTAAAATTCAGCAACCGCCTTACACATGAGCAAGTAATAGCTTTCTTTAAAGAGAAATAACGCAACAACACTGTTTAGGTATGGAGCACAGAGTGCACAATTACTCCACATATGAGCAAGTAATAGCTTTATTTAAAGAGAAATCACGCAACAACACCGTTCAGATATGGCGCACAGAGTGCACAATTACTCCTTCCTTGTGAAATGTGAAATTGTGTTGTGGCACTTCCAGTGCTCATGCTCAAAGAAATCCAATTTCAGATGTCCGTGGGAGCGAGGCATGTGGATCCCTTTGCATCAATCACAAAACAGTTTGAGAATGGGGTTAGGGTCGTGGCCCTAGCTTTTATTCTCACTTAGTACCTTAAAAAACAACTAATGATTTAAAAAACAAGCATGGGCAGTCATCCTCATTGTATTACCCAAAAAAAACACAAAACAGTTTTTGCTAAATAATATTACTGAGGGAGTTTATTTAGTTTGCAATAAGCATAATCTTTGAAACTTTTGGTCTTGTACTTGGGCGGGTTGTTGGTTTCGTCCGTGAGGTGTGGTAGAGGGCCGATCATGCATTCGTCGGGTGGACTGCAAAACACGGGCCATGACATCCTTGCCTTCTCCTTGTTAACGGTTGTTCTATGCAAAACGCTCTTATACTTGCCATTGCTCAAAATCTATACACCCAAATAACAACAAAATTAGAGAACGTTGTCCATTAGGAGCCTAATCACTATTCATGAATGAGCGATTTATTTACGGCCCCTTGAAATTTTAGGTAAAATGTGAAATGCTCCGCTTATATGCGTAAATTATAATGGTTGGTCAACTTATTTTTTTTAAAATTACTTTTTGGTCCACCCAAATTTTTGGTTTTTTTTTTTTTTTTGTCTTTTTTGAAGGGCAGTACATTAAAACTTGGGCCACTGCCCTACGAAAAAACAAAAATAAAAAATAAAAAAATTGAAATTTACTACTAACGAAAAAATAAAAAAAATGAAATTCAGGTTGACAAAAGGTAAGTTTGACAAAAATAAAAATAGGGGGTTGATCGGAGGAGGGATCATCTTGCATTTGCCATGGCCCAAATTCTAAAAAGAAAGTGAAAAGAAACATGGATTTCTTGTTTGAAAGTCTTTTGAGAGAGAGATTTGGATACCTCTATCTGGTCACCGATGTGCACGACAAGGGCGTTGGGAATATAGTCGGCAATGAACCATTGGTCATCCTTGCAGACCTGAAGGCCGGGCACGTCGTTGGGCACTAGGACGGTAAGAGCGGACATGTCTGTGTGAGCCACCACGCCGAGGGTGAGATCAGGCCTCGGACATGGAGGGTAATAGTTGATTTTCAGGAGATATACGAACTCATCACCACCCAATGATTTCTTCAAAACTTCCTCCTCGATCCCCAGCCCGAGAGAGAGAGTACCCAGAAGCTTGTCAACGACATTCTGCAAATGCTTAGCATACTCCTCATTTGAAGCGGTGTAGCTGGCAGGTTTCTTCGGCCATTTGTCGAAGTTGATTCGAGAAGGCGGCCAAATGTTGTGGAAGAGGAAGTCGACCCATGATAGCTTCCCTTGAAGGTCCTTCTGAAGCTGGGTGCCATAGCCTTCGAGGGAGGGAGAGGCCGAGTTGCGAGCAATCCGCTCTTTCTCCACCTGAGGGAGCTCGAAGAACTCTTTTCCAACCCTCTGAAGCTCCTCGACAACTTGTTGTGGAATACCATGATTTATGATCTGGAAAATGCCCCATTCTTGAGCTGCTTTCGCCATGTCTTGGACCAAGGATTCTTGGTCTGGGTTAGAGAGGTCGATAACAGGGAGTTGAGGGGCCCGGCCGATGCGGCCTACATCTGGCCTCTCGCTTTCGGGCCTGATGAACTTGCTGGGAATTGTGTCTACGGTTCTTGATGCAATGGATTGGACTCTTAGCACCTCCATATCTCTCTCCTCTTGCTTCCTTGTTTAAAGCTTTGTAGTGGGGAGGAGGACAGGACAGTGGCGTGGGCTTTATGGCAGTGATGAAGTTAGGGAGGGAGAGGGAGAGTTTTATAGCAGTGGTTGGAGAGAAAGAGGCGGTTTACGAGAGAGAGATAGTGGAGAGGAGGAGGTCTACGTGGTGGGCTCGGCTTTCTACCAAACTGGAGAACTTGAACCTTAGAGAGAGAGATTCTTTACCCCTTAGAGAGGGAAAGAGAGAGCGGAAAGGAAGAGATTTACGTGGTGCGTTTGGAACCCCAACCAAACCCCTACTAAATGCATGTGGAAGTTGTAGTTTCCACCAACATCAAGAACTGCCCATGCTTTATCCTTAAATTTCCAATATGGGCGATACACGTGCATCGGATACGTTACCTTATCTTCAGCAAGAGTAGTGTAGTCGGGTATCTAATAAGGGAAAGCTTTCTATATTCCCCATATCAGAGAAGTTTTATGTTCCCCCACTTTTTTAGATGTTGATTTCATAGAAGTTTTATGTTTTCAACCTTTTTAGTTGTTGATTTAAAATGGAGAGCTGACATTCATTTACTCAAGTTGTCAAAAAATGGCGGTATGAGGTCAACTGGTAACCCATTTTGAAATAAGTCTGTACTAGAGAGAGAGTAACCTATTTTAAGGAGAGAGAGAGCAGGGGAGAAGAAGATTTCTTGGAGGAGAGATAGAGCATGCAAATTAGAGGGAGAGAGGGTTTTTTGGAGGAGAGAGAGAGCACGCAGGTCAGAGGGACTAAAACCCACCTCCAAAAAGTTGTTATCTCCATTACCCATTCTCCATTACCACCACCCCATGACCTCATTTTCTCTCTCTTGAAGAAATGCTTGAAAGCACCCTAACCGAAGGGTTTCTTGGAGGAGAGAGAGAGCACATAGATTAGAGGGAGAAAGGGTTTCTTGGAGAGCAGAGAGAGCACGCACCATTAAAAGAGGGAGAGAGGGGTTCTTGGGGAGAAATTCTTTTTTATAGAGGATTAGGCAGGAAGATCCTAAAGAGAGAGAGTCCAAAGCCAGGCAAGAGGCAATACGGTCATCCCGAAAACAGGGTTTGCTTTTCGTCGTGCCGAGGCCTCTAGGTCAGCACCCAAGGTTCTCATCGTCGCCGCTAATTTGCAGAACCTAGGTTTGATATTTTTCAATTTTCTTTTTTGTTTAATTTTAGATGTGTGTTTGCCTGTGTGTATGTTTTAAAGTAATCTCTGTAGCATCATTTGTGATATTTATAGCCTTTTGTTCTCTCTCTCTAGCATTATTTGTAAAATTTAGAGCTATTTATTATCACTCTTTCTATCTTTGTTTCTTGAATGATACTAATTTTGTGAATTTTGTGGAATGGGGTTTGAATTCTAAGGTCTTTGTTGAAATTGTGCTGATTGATTTGTACTCAATTTGTAGAGAGATTGGAAATGCTCGTAAGGTGTTTGATGAAATGGAGGGGAAGCATAGAAAGCTTTCCCCTCATAAGGGGAAAACGCTCTATGTTCCCCCACCTTATTATAACTCTCTCTATCTTTGTTTCTTGAATGATAGTAATTTTATGAAATTTAGAGCTATGAAGATTTGATAGCTGTTTTTTTGTGAAATTTGTTAAAAGTGGTGTCTTTTTTATTTTTAAGATTGCTTGGAGCTTAGTAGTTCATGCCATTTTATGGAAATTTGGACTTGAGTGTTGTTTTCTATGTTACTTTTTTTAATCCATTTTGGGAGGGCTTGTTGCTTTTTATGAAATTTTTGGATTGTTGTTTTTTTTGTGAAATTTGGAGATTAGTAGTGTTTCTATGCAATTTTTAGAATCCATTAGGCATAGGATTGCTTCCATTCTTTGTTGAATATGAAAGTCGAGGTAATGGTTTCACGTTTGTTTTTTGGACCCATTGAGGGGAAATTCCTTTTTTGAATTTTGAACTGATTATCCGTGCCATTTTTTATAAATATCAGGGCTAAGCTATATCTTTTAGTTAATTTGTGAATCCTTTGAAATTGTGGTTCCTGCATTTTTTTTGTTGAAGCTTTGAACTAATAGTATTTCTTTTGCCATTTTAAGGATCCATGTTGATAGGGGATTCTTGTCTTTGATCAATGAGTGGCACACAAGTTCCGAGTTTGCAAAAGTGGCTACTGGTTTTAAACCTTGCTCAAAAAAAAAAAGAAAAAGGAAGAGATAAAGAAAAAACACGGCACCCCGTTAAATTGGCCTTTTTTTATTGAATGGTGGCTGCTTATCTCAATGAATTACTTAATCGAATTCTTTTTTCTCAGTGTTCAATTCACTGCCTAATACTGCTCAATTGAATGTTACTTCTTTAGCTTCTTTCATAACATCCAAATACTGTTTTTTCTATAAGGATGGACCAGGATGAGTTCTATAAAAACAAATTTATGGATGTGAGTTATGATAATGTCATAGCAACTGGGGATGGTGAAGACATTGAGGTCCCACTATTTTGTGATCAACAAAACAATAGTGAGCATCAAAAGGACTTATTTATAGGAATGGACTTTGAATATGAGGATGTTGTGAATAAATTTTACAATGCATATGCCGAACGAAAAGGCTTTAGCATTCGTCTTGTGAGGCCAAGGAAGGACAAGGATAACAATTTGAGGAAGCGAGATTATGTTTGTTTAAAAGATGGCAAAAATTCATCCTCTACCAATAACAAGGGAAGGATGCAAAGCAATGTTAAGGGTACACAGAATGAAAGAGGGAAAGTGGGTTGTAACGAAATTTGTTGAGGAGCACTCCCACAAGTATACATAATTTGAGATCATATCGGGCCATCTTAATAGCTACCATGAACTTGATTAAAGCGATGTCTTCAGCAAGGTTTTGTGTGCATAAAATTATGCAAATTTTAACTAAACATGTGAATGGGTCAAATGCTCTGGGCTTCACTCACGTAGATGTCGAAAACTTTATCCATAGCACCCATAGGAAGGTGAGTGTTAGAGGGAGGGATGAGGAGGCTCTTTTGGCCTACTTTCGTGAGCGTATTGAGGCGAATCCATGGTTTTTTTATAAAATACAGCTTGACGAGGTAGGTCAAGTCTGTAATGTGTTATGGATTGACTCGACTCGCGATCAAGGATATCATATGAATATTTTGGTGATGTAGTTATTTTTTATACAACATATAAGACAAATGCATATTACATACCTTTTGCCACCATTATTGGAGCAAACCACCATGGAAACAATACAGTCTTATGTTGTACACTAATTAGGCATGAGACAACATAGTCTTTTAGTTGGTGGTTTGGGCATTGACTAGAAGCTATGCAGAGTCGAGAACCGGGTTGCATCATTACTGTTCCAGATGCAGTCATGACTGCTGCAATTAAAGAAGTTCTTCCAATGCACGACATTGATTATGTAGATGACATATTTTACGAAAGTTTTAAGAAAAATTAGGCCATGTTGAGCGGAAGCACCCATGGTTCATACATGAGCTGCATAGAATCACTACTGATTATAATGAGACAATTAATGATTTTGAGGATCGTTGGTCCAGAATGCTCCAAAAATATGAGCTCGATGGGAATGAATGGTTTAACACAATATATGGATGTCTTTCTCAGTGGGTTGACGTGTCTATGTAGGATACATTTCTTACTGATGCACGGTCTAGTCAACAGAGTGAATCTATGAATAATTTTATTAAACAGTATGTCAATTCAACACAAATTTTTCAGGATTTGCAAAGCATTGCCATAAATCAAATGATCATCTATATGAGAAAGAAAATATGATGGACTTCAAGAGCATTGAAGGTATTCCAGTGATGACAATGACATTCCCCTATGAAAAACAAGCTGCTAAGTTGTATACTCATAGTGTATTTAGGAAGTTTGTTGAGGAAATTCAAAAGATACCTCCCATGGTTGCAGTGTCTTTCGAAGTTGAGGGACCAAATACCACATATAGGGTGTATAAATATGATGTCAATCGACCACAATATAAAGTGGTATTCAATGAATCAGAAATCACAACAACTTGTTCATGTTGCTTGTATGAACATGATGGTATTCTTTGTGCACGTCTTAAATGTATTCTATTATAATAATGTTATGCTCATCCCCGAGCACTACATCATGAGAAGATGGACTAAGGAAGGAAACAAAGGGATAGTATTAGATGACGATGGTGTTCAAATTAAAGCTGACTATAAGGAGTCTCAAACTGCTCGTTACGATGATTTAAGTAGAGTCACCTTTAAAGTTGTATCAAACGAATCAGATAGTGAAAGACTCTGAGAATTTACAAAAAATATTCTTATAGAGTGTAACGAAAAAATAGAGAGGAAGAGATTGGAGTATGAAAAAGAGGCAACTTGTTCGAATCAAGGTAGCAATTTAAAGGATGTCATGTTTAGTCATAATTACTTACCATGGACTAACCCAAACATCATTATTCTTGAATCACAATGTGCTCGAACAAAAGGGCGGCTTAGCACTGTAAGAAAGAAAGCACAATGGGAAAAGAAAACAAGCACGAAGAAGTGTTCTGTTTGCTAAAATGTAGGGCATGATAGGCGAACATGTCCAACATTTAGAACTCAAGGGTAAAATTATAATTATGCTTACAATTATAATTTAATATTGTTATACTTTAATATTTTCTTGTGAATTTGAAATAATCCATCAACTAATCACTATTTTGCAACTTATGCAGGTCTGACATGGAAATTCCCACAATGGAGCCTGAAGCTGAGTGAAACAATATGTAGACTTCGCTATGTACACCATTCGCTTTTGTGATGGTATATTGATACATTTGCACTAATTTATTGTTATCTATTAAATGTATTAGGATATAATGGCATGTGTTTTATGTTAAATGCTTAGTTCTTTCTATTTTCAATTGGTTTCAATTTTCAATTGGTTACCAAGCTAATATATATCCTAAATTTTCAATGACTATATCAGTTTGGATGACAATGCAAGAAGTCAAAGCAGAGGCCATAACTTTAAGAACAAGACTGGAGTTTTTTGTACAAGCCCAGTGGTTAACCCTCAAGCTCATCATCTCAAAAATTTTTTGCAAGCCCAATACTCAACAATCAAGCTCATCATCTTAGAAATGTTTTGCAAGCCTAATGCTCAACAATCAAGCTCATCATCTTAGAAATTTTTGCAAGCCCAATGCTCAACAATCAAGCTCATCATCATAGAAATCTTTTGTAACCCCAATGCTAGTGGAGAAAACTTTATCTTGGAATGGAGGTTCGGAATGGAATTTTTGTATAGCTTCCATATATTGCAAATTCATGTTGCAAGTAGAATTTTGTATAGTTTCAAAGTGCATGTTGAATATCTTCAAATGGAATTTTTGTATAGCTTAAGTTCCTCACACTTCTTAGACCAGAACATGCTATCCACTCATTCAAGAAATTTAATCTGGGTGATATTTTTTGGGCTTGACATCTTTTGCAATTTTTTAAATTGGAATTAATGAAGACATTGCGAAATTGATTGATGAAATCTATATTTTTGTTTCTATGCTTTCCAATACTCAGATTATAGTTTTGGTGGGGACTTTGTGGTGGAATGGTTGATGGGAAAGGATACTTTTGAGAGCCAATTGAACCAAAGCTTTATTCTCTCTAATATCTCTTCTCTCTGTGAACCAGCAGGAAAGTCCCAGTAATCTCTCCTAACCCAACTCCCTTATTGCAACCTGAGGCCAATTCATAAGCCTGTCCTCCATAACCATGATAATATGATTTCTAAAATCCTTTAACCAGCTGATACTATGCATTGCATCCAAGTATTGGGTGACCATGTTCATCATTGCCCCTATTAGGGACATCCTCTTTGCCAAATACAGACTAAGGTTCACAATAGGATTGATGTGCCCACCTATTTAGAGAGTGAAAATGCAGAAATTTAGAAAGAGAGATGGTC